AATGCAAAAGCAGATGCTAGAAAAATCTCTTACAAGAATGACACCCCACAATTTCCTAAACCCTTTGTAAGTAATGTAGTACCTGTGCATCAGGCCTACTACTACATCTCTCTTTGGTTTTCCTTTGGGCAGGAATATATGCAGATTTTATGCTGCTGACAGTAATCTAAAACTAGTGCAACTGAACCATACTGCAACAATCTAGCATTATTACTATGTTTTTTTACAAGACTTTTTACAAAAGGCCTCCAGAAGATGTGTTCCATTAGTGTAAGATAAGCACAGGTCAGCAACTCCCCAGCATTTTCAGGAGGATCTAAGGGTGCAGGGGGCTACAAGAGCCTCTTGGACTACAAACCTGCCCAGCCTGTGCCCAAGCCCTGGCTGCTGTTCATGCCCTATTTTTCTTCCTGATCTAACATGGGTAATATAAAAACAACAACAGTTTTAATTTCAAAGGATTTTCTGCACAGCATTGAATTGAATAAATGAAACTTAAGAAATCTGAAGGGTAAAGATCAGAAACAGACATTCAGTGTATTGAAAAACTCTTCTGGAATGAATTTATTGTGATAGCAAAGCTAATTATTGTACTTCCAAAGGGAAGAGGAAAGACACCACTGACTGGTACTGTCTGAGCAGTAGACAAAAGGGAATTAAGAAGTCATTCATAAACAGGAATCCTCCTGCTGACATTCAGCAGAGAAGTTGTTCTCAGAGTGCACCCATTGTGAAACATAAAACACATAATGAAAAGCAAGGGTCAGACAAGGGGAAGTGAAAACATTATCACTGGGGAGGCTGAAGCAGCAAGAGATCAGAGAGAGCAAACACAGAGCTAGCAGAAGGCAGCCTGATTTCTGTGAGTGACTCGACAGTCACTAACAGGTGGATAGAAGCTTCTGCCCTAGGATGGTAAAAAAGATGTGGCGATTACAGGTTTTTAAAGATAAGTTATTGAAGCCCTGGAGGAAAAGAGCCTTGGGAAGTGAGAAGAAAGCTGCCAAGATCTAGGGTAAGTCAACATGGGAAATAAAGGAGAAAGTAGTGAAAGTAAGGTGAATAAAAGTGACACCAGAAAACAGAAGATAAGAACATATGCTTTTAAAAGAGAACCCCCACGCCAGGTAACTGCAATATGAAGAGGCCACAGGTCCTTGGTCAGTCTAACATTTCTGTGTTTCAGCTTTTTTTGAGCCATCTGTTGAGAAGAACTCCATGCTCTACAGCACAATTCTGAGTTCAGCAGAAAAAAACATGGTAGATGCTGACTGCAATTAAGAGGGTTGAATGTTGCTAAATCCAGTTATTTAAAAAGCACCTGAAGGTTTGAACTTAAATCCACAGCTAAAATAAGGCACAGCCAACAGGGCCAAGTACTTCAGTCATTTTGGGCAAGTATAAAGCTTCCAGTACATTGAATTACAGGCTCTTAAAATCAGTGTTTTGTCTTTAGAAATTTATAAGAAGCCAACAGAAAAGGCACTGTATGTACCTAAACTTAACTAAAGGCAACAACCTCCAATCTCCAGTATTTCACTCAGACAAAAACAGGGATTGTACATGTCCACTGATGTTTGGGTATCTAGAAGCTGTGAGAAACCAAGGAGAACCTTTGTGCCATGCACTGTTTTAGTATGAAGACAAATGATGTAAATGGAAAAGAGTTAACAAATTCTTTGCACTACTTCCCTCTCCCTAACATAAACTGCCTCCGTCTTCTGAGAATTCAGTATCAACCTAAGGTCATGTATCTGTTGTTAAACTAAGCTTCAGACTTCTGGGAAAAGATGTTCTTTACACTTAAAAGTACTCTTATGACTCTGACAGCCAGTTAAAAGCCTACAGGATGAACATCATTGCTGACTTCTTAGGACTGTTCTCACTTCAAAACCCTCTTATTTTGAGCATCTGACTTCTACAAAGTCTGCTACTACCTACACACACTTAAACAATTTAACTTCTTGCTCACTAATACAATAGTGCTACTTACCTTTACATGTAACTGCCCTCACTTGTGTTCCTGAAAGTCTGAAAGTTCTACAGAATGAAACATTTACACCTCTACTTGCCCTGTTCTGCCTAAGTAACAAACATCTGAAATTACAGCAGGATATTCACATGGTAACTGCCCTGCACAACACAAAAAGAACTATCCTCCTTAGCTTTGAACTTCTAAGCTTGGATAGCTTATATTGTGACAGCTGTATCACAAGGCTTGTTTTCATATTGAAATGTTTAGGCCTTAAATGTACGATAATTTAATGGTGGTGAAGGGTGTTACTCTTGTACTCTGATTATATTGCAGCTCAGTAAGTAAATGGCTTTAAGCATACCATATAACTTTAAATGATTCCAAGTATAAGAATCTTCTCTTGGATAAAACTCAGATGTGAATGCTTTCCTGTTCATTCCCTCTAAGAATCATTATTAGAATAAGGACAGTGAAGAAGAAGAAAATGTCAAGATTTTTCAGCAATTTAGAACACTGTAATACTGGAACACTGTCACAGGCTGGAGAGCATTTATCTTGGCCTATTTTAGTTTCCCCAAAGAAAATTTTAGGCTGAGCCACAAAGGCTAACAGACCCATGGACATTTATGCCTAAATGTCTCATGCTAAAACTACCACTATCATCACTACTGCTGGACTTCATGCTGTATTCTGTACCAATTAGTCATGTACCTCACAGAATCTCACTACAGTATTTATGTAAGAAATGAGTGGCGTAGCACCAGCATTGCTTGGGAAACCATTCATTTTTCTGGATGAAATCACCAAAAACGATAGCAGCTAATTCTCTGTGATGTGGAAGAGATACAGGAGGAGGTTACAAGAGGCAAAAATGATGAAAACAGATTATTCTAAAAAAGGGAGGAGTGTTTACAGAAACAGAACTAATGGAAGGCAGATGAAAAGGATTATAAGAGAATTACAAATAATTATTTGTAGAGGAGGTGGACGCAGAGGTAGCTGAATTAAAACAAAAAGAAAAAGAAAGGACACAACAGTAATTGCTGTCTCTCAGCTAGAGAAATGACCTGTCAGGTAGGTCTGAGAGCCAGAAATCCAGATACGTGTGCATTCAGCACTGGAATGAGAGCTCTGCAGAGAGAGCCTCTTGATCTTCAGTTTCAGGGGTGTAATTCTGGCAGCTAACCCACCTCTCTCAACCAAGATGATGTATAGAAAGCATGAAAGAATAAAGAACAATTCATAACTTCACAACCCTAACAAAACCTAGGAAAAGATTAAAATAAAGGTTCCAATCACTGCAGAGTGGCCTGGGAAATGGCAGAGAGGAAAGCATGTCAGAAATGCTTGAGTTCTGTTTGAAAACCAAAAGAACGTGAGAGTTCTCATCTGCATTGTCATTCCTACCAGTTTCCTTAGTACATGTACAGCAACTTCACAGAAGATTCATATTTTTCCTCCCCTACTGTCTAGGCACAAACCTCAATTACTCCCTGTTGAACAAGCCTGCCAAGATATCTTATGACACCATTATCATTCCCCTTTCCTTTAATCCCATGACAATCTCGCCCTAGATTTGTGAAAAAGGAAAACTAGATTATTATAATGCAACTGCCAATTTTGGATGTTAAATTTCAATTTTTTCCTGTACTCAGAGATTAGCAATTTGGGAAACCTTATTTCTCCCTAATTTGCTCTTTGCTGCTGACAAATTCAGAAGATTACAAGTATTCAGACACCAAGGCTGACTATATGTGAAAAAACCCAAAATACCAGAAGTATTCAGGTCAAAATTTTAGAAAGCCACAATAGCAGGTTAACAAAACATCCAGACTAGACCAGAATCTATTCATAATTAATATTAAGCACCATTAAGTCTCACAAGTCTGGGCATTATTTCTACTGCATCCTCATCTGTCACATCTCACAACACCCATATCTATAGGGTTCATTCATAACTGTATCTGGGCTCCTACCCATTTGTCTATGCCAGCAGTGCTAGGGCCCAAGGATGTGAACAGATGAGTGAGCAAAACCATCAGCAGATACTTTTTCAGACAGTGTTGCTGTTCAGGCTGCAAGAAGTACAGGCGATAGCATGCATCCCACAAAGAAGCATCATCATCTCTTCTGGACACCCAACACAAGACTCAAATTTGGTCTAATCTTACTTCATTCCCCAATCTGGATCAGTACTGCTTTGCATATGGATTTTGACTACTGCCAACAAGCCAGCCTGCCATGACAGCAGTAAAGACAACACCCTCATGTAATTCTTTCTCTTCTACACAAACCCTATATGATCCAGTACATAGCACAGTTCTAAACAAATCATACAATTGTACTATAGAATAAATAACATTTGTTCTGTTTCTTCAATCCTCTTCTGTGCTCTAACCTTGCATATAAGCTTTACTGGGGCTATGAAGAATACAGTCCAATTTTCCAGTCCCACCAGAAGCTTCTTCTCTCAATGCAAAAAGTAGTAGCAATGATACACTAACTTTATAAGCCATGTAGAAGCTTGGAATTGTCACAGTGTCATGTATCTCCACAGGGCAGTGACAGCTATGCATCTAATGATGTTGATCAGACAGTCCTAAGTCGGCTGTAGGCTGTCCACCAGTTTATTAAAATTGCAATAACTTCCAACTGTTTTAAAGATCTAAGGTGTTTTTAAAAAACTAGATCCTTAGCACTCTGAAGAACATAAATGTTTTTATGCTACTAGAGACTTAAATTCTCTATTTAAATCACATGACTATTTTTAGGTTGTTATTCCATTATTTCAGATGCAAGTTACACAGACAGTGGTCCCTCTTTTAATCTGTCCCAGCAATTAAAATATGTATTAATTATGTAGATGTGTCCAATTCAGAACCAAGACAAACTTTGTTTCTGTAGCCTTCTGAATGTGTTCTAGTGATCAGAAAATGAGCTAGAATCAGAACTCAGGCACTGACTCACCAGGAGGCCTTGGCAAACAGATCAGAGGGCCAAAACATTCTGCCTCCCTGAGACTTACCACGTGCAAGATCACTGGGAGCAGCCTCTGCATGTTGACTCCGGAGATGCTCAGTGTCCCTGTGTGACTCCTGTGATGGAGGTACTGAAGATGCTGAGGAGGAGGAGGATGAAGAGGAAGAGGCTGGTTTGGATTTGGAATGTAGATCATTCAGTCTCAGGAGATTTTCAGAAGTGACAGTCTCTGGATTCACTGGGGTAGGATGCAGTGTGGCTGGCACTACTGGGAAGAAGCTTTCTCTGTTGTCCTTTGTATGCTTTGGGGTTGTGGGTGTTTCTCCTGTGGACTGCAGAAAAACAAGGGCAGGCAGAGACAGTGAGAAAATCTGTGCCAGCAATTCTGCATATGCTACCTGCTTCAGTGACAACTGCAGGCAGTACACCTTTTTGCAGACAGAAAACACTCCCTCTAAATATAAAAATAAATCACTGTTAAAAAGAAATCTTTCTCCTTTACAGATTATTTTTGTTCTTTGTGGTTTATTTCTCAAACTAGCACTTGAACATTTATTTATATCCACATCTACAATGCTTTATTTAACAAATCCCTCACAACATAGCATACTTTCCTGAACCCAATTATTAAGCATGAATTACAAATCCTTGTGAATAAACACATTTCTTTCATTTAAAAATAAGTTTACAAACCCTCATCCTGAACAAACAGATCTCCAGTGATTTAAGAGAACTTACATATTATTAAAAGAAATTATTCTTAGTGAATGATGTGAGAGGAAATAGAGAAAGCAGAAAAACGTATCTGCTTGCAAAATAAGTGATCAACCTAACACCAAATAATAAATTTCCAATAATTGCAAAATTTATTAAGATTTGTGCCCAATTTGGAGCATTGCTCTGGAAGATGTGTGCCTTTGCAGAAGTAGCACTAGGAGTGACACTTTTCTCCACAGCCAGACCCAAGAATTTAATGCAGTGTCATTAACTATATAGAGAGAATGTAGAAGAGAGACATAAATTAATCAAACAAAGGAACAAAAGTACCCATAAAACAAGTATCTTCTCTATAACTTTTATCAGCAATCACAAAGTATTCTTCCCTGTGAGACCAGAGAATGCATTTATTTCATGCTCTTTACAGTCTTCATTTAATGGAGACTTATTGGTCCGTAAGAGATACGGTTGAATAGAATCCGTAACTGTTCAATTCTCTGTCTGAAACCTCTACCTCTCATACCTCTGCTATGAAAAAAACCTCATTTTAACCACAGTGATAGAGTATGAGTGTTTGTAACAGAAAGAAAGAGTTCTGCTGCCAATTGTAAAATTAAATTGGACCTTAATGTCCTAGATAACCAAAGATTTATTACAATGTCAGAAAAGTCAGAAGAATTTCACTCAGAGAACAGAGTAAGTTTTAGCTGGAGAGATGACATTTAAAATTCAAAGGCAGAAAGCACACAAGTAGTTGTTTGGTTTTTTAAATAATTAGTGGAATGTATTTTTGAAGTTCCTGAACTTGATTAATCAATCTGTAAAAAGCATACAATTAAAACCTGCCAGATTGTATGTGCACACACACAAAAAAATAGCAGCTATATTTGCAACAGTTATCACACTGGATCAAAAAAGGTCTATTCTGCTTCTGAAAGCAGCAAGTTTGATGTTTAAAGGTCTCAAGATGCACAAATGGGATCCCACAAACCTAAGGGAAACAAAATAGCAAGGAAAGCCTCAAGCCAGAAGTGAGATCAGCAGAGGAAATGTTTTCAGCTGTGATTTAAAAGAAAAACCCTTCACACTCAGGCACTTCATTAACTTACATAATAGATTATGTAGAACATGAAATTTCTGTGCTTGTATTGTACCCAATTTTTTTTTTTTTCAGCAGAAACACATGAAGGTACTAGTAGTTAGGTACCTATCTGTTAAAAACATACTTGCACTTCAAAACTGTGTTTCTCAAAAAACACAAGCTATTTCCACAAGCAGGAAGGAGGAGGGCATTTGGAAAGTAACTCAGCAAAATTTGGATGATGATCAGAAGATAAATTATTACTGAAAGAAGGACCACAACATAATGGAGTAAATCCTGCTGGAAGGGACCTCAGGAGGTCTCTAGTTCACCCTCCTGCTCAAAGTAGATCAGCTCACTGAGGGCCCATGTCCAGCCCAGTTCCGAATACTGCCAAGAATGGAGATTTCTCAGCCTGTGGGGCCCTGTTCTAGTACTTTACCACCTTCACAGTGAACATGTTTTTCCTATCACTTCATCCAAGTTTTTCTTGCTGAAGTTCCTTCCTCTCTGCTGAGAAACTCCACATCCCCACCCTCTATCAGTCTCCTCTCCACGACGAAGCAACCCAGCTCTGTGATTTCACTGCCATAAGGGCAAGACCTGTGTTCAACCCCTTTTCCAAGGCCCCAAATCAATTTTGGCAGAGCTATTTCCCAGCCAGTTATGTCGCACAGGGGTCATTCTGCCTCAGCTACAGGACTTCAAATTTCTCTTTAATGAATGTTCAGGTAGTTCCTGTTAAAGCAATCCTCCAGTCTACTCAAGCTTCTTTCAATAGTAACCCTGCTCTTCAGCATACAAATCATGCCCTTCAAGTGGGCAATATTACTCAAACTGACCAAGAGCTCACTGCATCCCACCATCCAAGGCGTTACTATGCCCTGGTATGAGTTTTTGAGGAACATCACTGGAAACTGGCTGCCAGGCAGAATCCCACTGGTTGGGCACAGCATATTTAACTAGGCAATGGAGGCAGTGACCAACATGGAAAAGACAAAGGCTGCCTTATAAGTTGTAGATGATCAAACACACATAGAAAAAAGGCTGACACTGACACAACTCTCATGGGTTTACATAGATGGAACCAGACTCACATGTAATTTCTCTCAAAATGAAGATGCTGTACTAGGGACAAGAAAAATCCATTTTTATTTTGAATTTGTTCCTCAGGGTGAAGTTGTGATTTGGGCAAGATTTCGTTTTCGTACTTTATTTTTTCCAGAGAATAAACTTGCCTCATAAAGAGAATAATATTTGATTTGCACAAAAGAATAAAACTGAAACTAATATGATGTTTCTGCCTCAGTAGAACCATGACCAAAAATTCTAATGTGCAGTCAAAAGTGCAGCTTTATACCAAAAAATAGTTTAATATTTATGGCTTTAAAGAGAACCTCCCAGATGTGACCTGGTAAAGACTTAAGACTTGTACAAAGAGACTGGTTCTTTTCAACCCAATGAAACAGAGAGAACTGAATAGGAAAAACATCTCCCAATTACTTTATTTTCTCAAAAGAAGAAGTGGGGGTAGAAGAAGGAGAAGAAACCTGTCTTTCAGATAAGAGTCAAAGCATGACAAGAAAGACCACCTGTTGGCTACTGTGCATTCTGCCACTCACATGGCCCAAGAAAAGGGATTTAAACCTGCTTCATATGTTTTACTGGACTCATAAAATGAAGAAAACCTAAAAGCTCCAAACAGAAAGCTAAGAGAAGCACCATGGTGAGGCATAATGTTCTTTTCTCTAAAATACTTAGGTTTTAGTGTAAGGGCAAGAATTTCAACACCTCACCAGTAAGTAACGCAAGTCACAAAACCCAGGTCAGGGCAAGGTCACTAACCATACTGCTCAAGACCTCTGGGGCCACATTTCATTCTCCTGCAGATGACTGCCTTCAGGAAACCACTATTTCATACCACCACATTTGAGAAACAGACCTAGAAAAAACTAATGACAGGAAGTCTTGCATTTGCTAGAAGCACTTTACATTCATCTGCTTCTGCTGCTATACCAGCAGTAAGTTACAATAAAGACCATTTTCCACAAACACACAGTAGGAAACTGAGAAGCACTGACAATCCTTTACCAGTGTTTTATGTGGTTACTCATTAGATTTTTTTCAGTTTTTACTTTGTTGTGGCACAAAGTCGAAACTACAGAAATTCTGCTTCCCCTTCATGGTGCCAAGTGTTGGTATCACCACCACTGCACCTGAAACAATGAGGATACTACTCATAGAACAAGTTCATATAACTGAAATAAGATGAAAACCCGTTTCTCTGTCTTCTTCCCGCCTTTCATTGTAACTGCAGATTCATCTAGTCAAGTTTAGACTTCTTTTGGACATTTAAAAACAAAATGAGGCACTGAAGAGTGTGCAGAACTACTTTTGCCTTCACTACTATGATGTCAAAGCAGATGGAAGAAATATTTAAGGCTTGTTACTACCCAAGCAATATGACAGAGCCCGTTAAAAAGAAGTCCATTACTTCTGTAAGTATCCACTATCTTATTTGTTCTTTTAAAAAATACTTCCTGGAAATGTTCTTTGTTATGAAGTGTGTGCAAAGCTAAAATTTCAATGAATAACCAGCATGCATGCTTGTGGGAATTTTGAGTATTTCTGACTTATAGAGGGGTCCAAATCAGTCTCCTTATCTGCTAAAACCTTGGCTATTTCATCATACTCCTCAAAGAGATCATTCAGCTTCATGAAGGCTATGGATAAACCCTTCCTAAGTCAAGAGGTTACATAAAAAAAAGGCAAATATGAGAAAATTTTACTTCATAGACTATCTGCAAGGTCAGAAGCCATACAAGCTGACCACGAGTTTATTTTTGCCTTGTTTATTCTTGTTTTCAAAATACATTTTGTAAAACAAAGAAATCCTACAGGAACTTTTCTGATACCACTTCTGGAATGGTTCACTGCCCTGGGACTGTGGGAAAAAATAATGATCAAATGTTCCAAAGAAAGGGAAAGTGACAGTCTTCCCAACAGAAGTTTCCAAATGAAAGATGCTGGCACTGCAACTGTTTCGTAACATTTTCTGGTTGATTTTTAAAAATTATTCCCATGTCTGAATTTAGCACCCTAGTGCTCTGAAACCACCTACAAAGAGAGCTGTGCTTTGTAAAAGAGTATCAGCACATCACTACAAAGCCTGGAAGCTTTCACACAGACTGGCTCAACAATATGCTGGCCACATTCCACAATATTAACACTCCAATTTCTGTTCAATGTTGTGTTTTAATTAAACTATCTATTCATATTTCTTCTCTCCATCTCTCTGTAGCAATATTTGAAAGAACTCTCCTTCGGAAGTTTTCTTCAAGGCACATCAGAACTAGCAGCAATATCTGTGATTCTAATTCTGAAGAACCTTTTACTTCCTAAGATTACAGTTTTACATATAAAAAACAATGAAGGTTTAATATACATATATGATTATATACATATATATATATATGATTGAACTGCACTCTAGCCTAACAAAATCCTCCATTTACACAAGCATATGCAGAGGCT